CTGTCCCCATTGGTTTATTCACCCTCACGAACGCTCAAACATACAACAATCATACACAAATCAGCCTACAGGCGTCCACCTCACCATTTCCCACAAGAAGTCGTCACCTACAAACACACAAACACACACGCATCTTCAGCTGGAATCCTTTCACCGTACGACTCACAGTCGACACCGAATGCTAGCAATGCCAATCAGCGAGTGAGTCGTCGATTCAGTGAGCCAGCCAGCCAGTCGAGTCTCGAGTCATTGAATCCGATGGATGATGGAGACAGTGGAATTCACGTGAGGACAAGCCAGTATGACAGCATTGCATAGTAATTTTGAGAATATTGTGATTGTTGTGAATGTATGTGTGGATGTTTGCAGATTCAGACGGATAGGGACAAGGAGAAGAGGTTGAGTGAAGTGAAAGTAATGAATGAATGATTGTTAACGAGGTGATCGGCTTTTCTCCCTTTCAGAAGTGATGAGCAGTGAAGCGGTTGGAGAAGAGGCTTCCAGTTCGACAGGTGAGTGAATGTCTCTACATAGTCGGCGTCCACAATTCTGTTTCCCAGGCGACTGAGGAGGGTCATTGTGGTTAGGTGTGCGTGTGTGTGGATGAGTAGCTGGCTTGCAGTGAAGCGGTTGGAGAAGAGGCTTCCAGTTCGACATGTATGTGATTGTCTCTTTTTTTTTATTTATTTTTTTATCACTGTCTTTACTGTTTTCGTTTTTCGATTTTTTTTATATTCTTTGATTTCTTTAGCTTCTCTTTGATTTTCTTCTTTTCTATATGCCTCTTATTACATGTCACTTTTTAAATTTTTTCTCTCATAACCGAACTCTTGTACACTTCTTCTCCTCCTTTTATACACTGAGTAACACTGATTAACAACTATGATCATGACAACCCATCACTCTTCTCTAGTATCCTCTTCTTTTTTGGAGAAGAGTTTGTATATAGGTGTGATTGTACAGCTTTGCCTTACCACTGGCGACCAAGTAGCAGCTTCCTATGGGCTATACAAGTTTCTCTGCGCATATGAATGTCGACAGACAATGCATTATTGTTGATGTGCTCTATTCGTCTTGATTCTATGAAACTACACAGCCAGCCTGTCTCATTTGGCTGTGTTTCTTGAGCTGGTTTGTTGATTAAACTGCGAAGTTTTCGTTGTCCGCCTTCCAGACAACAAGATCGCCTCAGTGAAAGCCAGTATATGAAATGTGTACTTATTGCCATTCTCCATGAGTGACAATATAACTGTTTCTCACGGCGACTTACATCATGATTGATTGTTAATTCGCCTCCAAAGTCATCGTTTTCGTAATTTTGTTTCCTTTGTCTTTATTGGTTGATTGATTTGATTCGTATTATTTATGTGTCTTTCATGCACATTCCATGACATTTCTACAGTGTTTCCACTCTCTAAGAGTTCTCGACTTTCCAAGTTCAACTGGTTTGCATAATTGTCGACATGCAAAGAAATGAAAGATTATTTATCCCGTCTTTTCACAGGCATAATTTCTTCTTCGATTATGAGTCGAAAGGGGTGCACACCTCGGTCAATATGGTGTTCATCACAGTTTGTATAATTTTTTATTTTTTTATTATATTTTTGATTACAGCTTGATTCACACTGTGTTTTGGGTACAAGTATGGAATTTTCTGCATGGATATCTTTAGCCCAAATTTCGCAGGCCGATCTTAGTTACTAGGTGTGCGTCGGCAGGGGATAGAACCTCGGACCATGTGCATGGTCGTCGAGAGTCTTAACCACTCCGTGTCGAGTTTGTCTTCTACTGCTATTGTGTTGGTCTTCTCATGTGCACAGTACTGCATGACTAATATTGACTTCGATTTTGTGTTAATTCTATCTCACATAGTTTTAGTAATCTAGCCGCCATTTCAGAAGAACTTCAATATGAATTAGGTTGAAATTACTTGTGGTGGTTTTCTGCTGGAATTTCGGTTTGAGTCTAGAAATGTCTTGACGGAAAAGCACGAGTATTCATCCTCTTGAAGGCAGTCAGTAGGTAATCTCATGTGTTCTCTTCAGCACTGGAGTGCTGCAGTGTATTTTAACTCTTATAAACAATGACTGCATGCAGTTTATATTGTGAGCCGTTGGATCATCGCTGCTGTAGATGATTATTTGTTCTGTGTGTGCCCGCGTGCATGCGTGAGTGCGTGTCTCTTTTTAGGTGGGTGTATTGCCATTCTGCATATGTGTGTTTCCGAATTTTCTGTATTTGTTCTGTTGATTAGGACATCGACATAAAAATGGTTTCGTTGTCCGACTCTTCTTCGTGTGTGAATTTTGACGTCTTCAACTTTGGTGTCAATTAATTTGTGGGTGTATTCCAAACCATCTCTTGTGCTTGTTATCACGAATGTACCATCAAAATCAGTTTTGATTACTGATAGAGCTATCAAATTCTAATCTTTGCATAACGACCTCATCTATTAGTCTTGATATGTGAGATCCCATCGATTTTCTCGATGTCTCTTCGTATATCTCATTGTTGAATTGAGAATATGTTAAACTACATAAGTTGACGAGTTCCATCGAATTTGAACATTACGATTTTGCGCATTCATCGCCACAAAGGAATCGCTGCATAGCTTTAATTGTCGACATTTTCAGACCAGTTGAAGCGTATAATCCTGTGAGAATAATGAATGTTACAATATCATTGTCGTCTACTTGAATGCGTTTGTGCATGTTTGATAGAAATTGAGTCAATGAAGTGATTGATTGATCACATGGTTCTGTTGAATATATGAATTTTATAGAAGCTCCCATTTTCTAAGGCCTTCAGTATCCGTTTGGCCACAGAGTAGTGGGTTCAAATAAGTAGGATTCTCCCAATGTCCGAGTCTAACTGGTGTTCAATCATTCAATTATGTCAAACGTATTTCCAGTTGATGCGACAAATAAAGTTGCAGCTATGATTCTTGCCCATCACCTTGCTATTTTAGATTTTTAGACTGTCATCTCGTCGTATCCTGTACTGTATAACTGTGTGAAATTGTATGTAGTGTTTGTCAAAGCTGGCTATTCTCTAGATTTCTCGTCTTATCAGCATCAACTTATCTAGATTTTGTCAAGCTTTCGTGCTCCCCTAGTCTGGCCGACCTCGATCCAATAATTTGACCTACAAATTTCACCTGTAAATCATTTCAGGCCATTGGGTGAACTGAATTGTTCTCTGTCTGGTGGGCCCCTTCTATGTCCCTGTGACCATTATAATTTGTTTCCAAGTAACCTTATTGGTGTGTGACTGTGGGGGTAGGGTGTGTGCAGTGACACTTTTATTCTCGCCTTTTTGAGGACACCATGTACGATTTCCAAAGAATCAAAGCAAACTCGAAAACGGAATTCGCGAATCTGTGTAGTCCTAATTTATATAATCATATCCAGTAACAGAGTGTGCTGTAAACTCTGTCATCCAAAAGATAATACTGCTCATTGTACTTCTTTGTGTGTGTATGTGTCCAACAAACAAAATTATGTGGAATCACATACCACCACAGTGACCAAGTGTTATACAGTTGTAGATTGTGAAGCGTTCTGCCCGTGGTATTTATTTATAAATTGTGAGATGACAAGGATTCTTTGGTTACAGGTTTGAGGATGTATTGATATCAAATGGAGAATCACTGGAAAGAGGCAAGGCGTGTTGGACAGCTAACTGCCAGTCTTCGTCGTTCGAGCGTTTTCGGCATGCCAGTGAATCCAGCGAATAGCCGACCTCTTCAATATCTTAGATGGGATTCCGGCGACTGAAGGGTCTAGTCTCACGTCAATAAATGGTGACGCGTGCGCAATTCTGAATACTCTGAAACAAGAACGCGGATGAAACAACTGGCTGTGCAGTTATCCCCATTACCTTCCAACGCTTCGCTAACTCATGTCAACTGATCATGAAACCTGCAATGTGTACTTTTCTCATCACTTCACTCACTTCACTTTTAATTTTCACTTACACCTTATCATGAATATTTCAATTGTTATTCTGTTTATTTTAATTTACCAATTACAGATGAACTAAAATTTTGGCTACTTCAGAAAGCGATGAATATTTAAGCTTTTCATGGATTCCATTTAGTCCTTCGGGTATCAAAGAATTAGAGCTGCAATTAAATATCGATATCTTTACACAGTTTCGCATCACACTTAGTGTGAATGCAACGTTAGCTCCATTTGAAGACATTGGGACGCATGTGGATATTTAGAATTTAGTATTATAGGGATAACAGGCGGACGGATTTCACGTACGACAGGAACACGTTCAGTTTATTATAAAAGAAGTAAGTCAAGAGAGATGAATGCAGAGTAAAATAGAGTAAGTCACTCTAACCTCCCATCAATTGCACACACACACACATGGATACTGTACACATTTCATTCAGTATCTGTAATTCGATTTGTCAAATTATCTACAATGTTTCATGGAAAATAGATTTGCGTCATTTTGAACAAATCATAGAATGCCAGTTGGACAGCCACCTCAGTTTTAAAAAATCCTTGACTTCGGAAGCACCTTCGACAGGACACCGTTGACTGAAAAGAATTTGGAAGTCACTTAAACACTCTGTCGTGCACTAAGCCAAATCTTACTGAAACAGCGAGACAGCTGATTCCAACCTTGGATGTATTCGTCAGTAATGAAGAGTTCTGAAGTGTTCCAAGATGTAATCCATTGCTTTTCAGTCGATTTCCACTCCGTCAGGTTCTTGGCGTGTGATCGCAACCGACTTATCTGTCTTCCTGGTTGACTTCAATGAAACAGAATGACTGCTTCATACAGAAAGAGGTGCTTTCAGCTATAAAAGGCTTCTCTGTGAAGATGCTCAGTTTATACCACCCAAGCCACGAGCACCACCGGTAGTGTTTGATAGCCAGACAAATCGAAGTGATCCAAACACCAGACGGAAGATTTACGCGTCTCAGTTCGACCTAATCACCTGTGAGCTCCGTATGACTCAGCTCAGGAAGTAGAAGGGGTTGAGAACACCTGATCCCTGGCTCGCTGGCTGACTACCCGAGTAATCGAGAAACTAATGATTTAAAGAAATCTCTATTGATGGACTGATTAACGCGGTAGAGTCTAGTTATTTTTGAGAGATGAATTCGTCCGTGTTACCACTTCGAAAAGGAATAGGGAGAACTCTGAAATCTTGTTATCACCTCCATTACCAACTCCCATGGAATCATATTTTGCAGCAATGTATTGGTCGAACGGTCATCAATTTTATACCTCTTCAATTGTTTCACCAGTTCCAAGGATCGAGAACGTCCAATTGCAGTCTGGAAAGATTCGCAATGTGACATGGGAACAAGAGTCCGCCTTCTGCAGTAAACATGACTTTACAGTTATCTTCGGTGGACAAGAGAATAAACCGCTTGAAATGATCATCGTTCAGGGTGATGAGAAGAAGTATTCCCTGAGAAGTAAAGTAGAAAATCAATTGATCTTTACAATCTCACATAGAAACAGATTCTCTCTACCGAAGTTGGGTAAGTTACCAACACGTAATATTATTATATAGAGTATTATCTAAAATATTCACAACAATAATATGAATCATTGAAGGTGACAGTGTAATCGAAATGTCATCCAGTGAGTAATACTGTTTCACTGTATGATACATGCAATAAACAAACTAATATGGATTCACTTACTATCACAGTGCCCAAGATTTACACATATAATAATAATAATCAATACTTGAATATGATTTCGTACGTGATGAGAAGAAATGAAAATGTGATATGTTGGTTTGCTGGGATTCGATCGGTTACAGGATTTCACCATCGAGCTGGTATTCCTGAACCCCTGGAAGGCAACGCAGTGGCCTGGTGGTCGACCTAGACCATCTCGTAACCGGTAGGTCTCGGATTCGAACACTGGTGGTTAGGGCGTATTACAGATTAGTCCCGTACAACGAGGACGCAACAGACGGATGTTCAGTACTCCCTGTCGCTTTTTCAAAGGTTCTCTGACCGAAGTCAGTTGGGGTGATGAGATCCTGTAAGCGAAGGAGTATTTCTTAGAAACACAACTCTAGAGGAACAACGAGAAATAGGTATGAAAGCGAGAGTCAAATGTACAGCAGAACGAATTCCACACACGGAACGGATAAGACAGAAAACAAGAAAGATTAGATGATAATAAGGAGCAGAACCGGAACTCGCTCTCTTCGAAAGAATGCAAGAGTCACTGTTGACGACTTGAATTATGTTTCCCTTGCAGAACACATAATCACTGAAGATGTTGGTGAAGGGGATTCCGTTTCGACAGGTGAGTGTCAATATCTCTCGCCTTTGTAATGGAGACGAGAGACTGTTAGTGTGTTGCTGACTGTTTTGGTGTCCGGTTTTTGGGCAGTAGACTCCTGTTAAAGAATCTCGAGGTTCGTGTATCAAGCGACGATCGTGAGCATCAAAACTACGCACCTGATACTGTGTTGAGAGCAGGCCGTGAGAAAATATGTATAAGGCTTATTCAACAGCCAATCACAGTAGACTTAACGTAGCAAAATATGATTCGCAGATAGAGAACTCTATTTTTCGAGGAATCCCGAAACAACCAATCAGAAGCCTGCGTTTGTCTACTTGACTAGGCTATAATAATGTATGTGAAATATGTATAAATACGTGTTGATTTTCGTAATAAAACGATCTGTTGCCTGGCCCTTGTCTTCCGTTGTTACAATACCACACAGTCGACACACCACTGACTGTGTCAAATGTGCATCGGAGTGCTCCTCTCCTTATTCTCAATGTTTTATTTCATTCCTTCACGTTCGTACTGGAACATAGGAGGCTCAGCTGAGCTTCAAAGTAGCAATGACAGTGTTGTGTATTCTGAGGAAGTGAAGGTGCTACCCCGATGTACATACTTCCTTCCCTCTTCACCAACCTGAGCGCAGACTCAACTGGTTTTATGCATGCGTCAGCCATGGATCGTACACAGACTACACGCATGACTGGCAATCATTTTACTGAAGCGTCACAGACGTGTGACATCATACGCTTATCACATTATTATTTTTGTTTCCTTTAATCCCTAGAGGAACATAGGCATGATGGTTTGTTTTCTCAAAGTGTGGCCAGTCCACCTCCATTTCTTCCTGCATATTTGTTGTACAATCGGTTACTGTTGGGCTGGTTCGTTTGTTGCCAGAAATCCTTGTTGCTGATGTTCCTCCTGTTAACGCTGATCGTTGTCTGTTTTTGTTGCTGTTAACCAGGAATCTCCAACACCAACCAATGAAGTTGAGTGAGGTAGAGAGGTGACTTCTATTCCATCCGTAGTGTTGCGATTTGATCGATGCATGATGGCGCCTCCCGAATATAGCCTTTCATGGTCGATGTTTTTCATCCAGGTTGGCGTGCCTGATTTTCTCTCGAAAGATGATGTGACTTGGTATTTAATTTGTGATGTACAGGAGAATAGTGCCGCGCCATTTCTTGCATTGACTTAAGTCCCGTTTCTTTAGTAAATTCAAAAAACAGCCTTTCTTCCAGTCCACAGGTACTTTGCCCTCTCTCCACACCTTCTCCAGTGGTTGCGTTATCAAGTCCGCTTATGTCTCCTCGGGGTGTATTTCCAATTACTCTGAGGGAATTCCATCTGATACTGCTGCGTTTCCAGGTTGTAGCATCATAATTGCCCTCAGGACTTCTGTTCTCGTCGGTGGGTTGATGCCCACTGGTAGTTCTGCTTCCGCTGTTGATATTATAAGGCGTGTGGTAGGTGGCGGTCGATAAGGAAGCCTTTTCAAGTATTCGGCCAAGTCTTTCCTTTGCTCCACCTCTTCGTTGATTGAATTTACATTGTTATCACTCACTGGCTTAATTTGTGTTCATCTGTTTCCCGACAGTAACCTAGTTGTTTGGTAGAGTGTTGCGAGGTCTCTTTTGCCTGCACTGCAGCTTGTTCGGTTTCACTTGCCATATATTCATAGTATTTTCTTTTGTCGTCGTTGGCACTCTTCTCTACTCTTTTGTTCAGTAAATTGTAGATCGCATTCAACTCCTGTTTCGTTGCTCGCAGATGCACTGTCTCAAAATCCTTCTCTCTTCTATTGGTCTACCCGTGCCCGTAGTGGGCCACTGTTTGTCCTGTGTCTTTTTTCTGCCTAGAATTTCAATGCAGGTATGACTCTACAGCGCTTTCAGTCTGTCCCAGTGCTTAAAAACGCTGGACGCTTCGCTGGTGTTAGTTTATATCTCAGTCTGTTTCCTTATGATTTCAGTGAAGATGTTCTTTGTAGCCTAATCATTCAGTTTTCGATTATTGAAATTGGCTTGTGGTCTATCTGCAGCTCCTGTTTCTTTGATGCTGTCAATTTGACTTAGTGTTATTTGTATGAGATAGTGGTCTGAGTCCACGTCTGCTTCTCCTCTTACTTTTGTGTCTAGTGAGCTGCGTCTCCACTTCCTTGAGCAACATTGCGATGAATGCAATTTGGTTTTGATTCGTCCGTCTGGTGACACCCATGTAGCCTCGTGGAAATCCTTGTGCTTGTATACGCTGCCACCAATCACTAGTTCATTGAACGCGCAGATGTCAGCTAAGAAATATCTGTTTACATTTCTCTCTATCAGAGCTTTTCTACGCCTCATATGATCTCTTCCCGTGTTGTCCAATCACAGTTTGGGGTTCATGTCTCGTATTAAAATTTTGATATCACCGATTGGAATATTGTCCATAACTGCCTGAAGTTGTCTGTGGAACTCTTCTTATTTTCGAGATCTGCGTTGTTAGTGTGTGCATAGCATAACATAGCATAGTTGTTATTTTCCTTCTTTTTCAGTTGAATCTGGCGGAGATTATTCTGAGCGAGATCGCCCCCGTTGTATTAGAGATTTCGTTGCCATTGTTAACACGATGAGAGTCAGACTCTCAGTGTGCTCGTAGATAACAAAGTCTCCCGTTGAAAATGTCATGAGTCGACGTCAATTCCATCCGACTTCGCCTCTTCCCAGGATGAGCGTAACATATCCTTCCATTTCTCTAGCAGTCTGGGCAGATTTGCAAGAGTCATACATGGTGCGGAAGACATAATCACCCATAGAGACGATTCGGATAAATCTAACGAGATTCGAAGTACTAAAGATTCCGTAGAAAAATAGTGTACAGGTTCCTGCTCCAAAAGCAAAACCATTTGGAAGGGTGAGCAGAATATTCACCACAAAGAAATATGACAGACTAAAGATAATAACACAAAAAAGCACACGAAAAATTTACAAAAAAAGCCATCAAAGTAAGAAAATAAAAATAAAATCACAAACAATAAGTAAAGATTAAAATGATAAAAAAATATTCTATAAGGAATAATAGCAATGACAATCAGCGAGTGAGTCGTTGATTCAGTGAGCCAGCCAACCAGTCGAGTCTCGAGTCATTGAATCCGATGGATGATGGAGACAGTGGAATTCACGTGAGAAGAAGCCAGTGTGACAGGATTGTGAAGAATTTTGAGGATAGTGTGACGGTTGTGAATGTATGTGTGGATGTTTGCAGATTCAGATGGATAGGGACAAGAATAAGAGGTTGAGTGAAGTGAAATTAATGAATGATTGTTAACGAGGTGATCGGCTTTTCTCCCTTTCAGAAGTGATGAGCAGTGAAGCGGTTGGAGAAGAGGCTTCCAGTTCGACAGGTGAGTGAATGTCTCTACATAGTCGGCGTCCACAATTCTGTTGCCCAGGCGACTGAGGAGGGTCATTGTGGTTAGGTGTGCGTGTATGTGGATGAGTAGCTGGCTTGCTGGCTGGCAGCGATTCAATATGTCTGTGTAGCTGCATTTGCGTCTCTGAGTGTGAACGTCGGTGTGTCGGACGGCAGTCTTTCTGTCTATCTGTAACTCACTGTGTTTGTCTGTCCTCTCTCCAACTGGTAGTCATGTGGTAGGGTCTAGGTGAAGGAAATTGCCGTCTCAGTGAGCATGTGTCGCTGGTGACCGACCAACAGACCGACGGACCCACCAATCAAATTACAGTCACAATTTCACTCCTCATGACACACAGTTGTCACTCAACTCACTGCGTCACATCTCCATCCAGTCGACCTACGAAAACACATCATACACTCAATCGATATCACCATTTTTAACAGACCTCCTTTGAGTTTATTTGGAGAACACAATTTGACCTCTCTTATGCTTTCCTCCCCCATACTACACTGGCTTTTCCGGCTTCAGTCCCTGAATCATTACTACTGAAATCTTTGTTAATATTATTTTGTTACCCTTAAGATAACGTGGGTTACTCTGTCGTGATGGTGCTCACAGTATGTGACGTATAGTGTCAAATCTTATTGTTTTCTGAGGTTTTCATGCATCTGTGGACAGAGGTGCATGTGGAGAACTAAAGAGTCTATTCCCTTTGAGGCTACAGTATATATTACACACTGGCTTCAACAACAAATACCTTCGCTGGACACGGATGATCCCTGAAATAGATGTCCATCATCAGCTATAGAGAAGCACATTATAGAGACGGGTAAAAACTTTGGTTTCAGCAGTGTCTTTAATGTCATGTGCAAAACAAGCCTGAACTCTCTGCGTTCTCATCGCTGACTAATTGAAGTGACTGAGATAGCCCTTCTCGAAAGTATATTATTACTGACCTTTGTTGATGATCCAATTTCTGTCTCTCTTTCAGAAGACACAGTTAAAAACCAAAATGTGGATGAGGATTCCAGTACAACAGGTGAGCATCTATGTCTGTCCTTGTTATATCTTGCTCTGAATTAAGGTAAAACCCCGTCGCCAATTTGTTATATCTTGCTCTGTCTGCGCCTGAACTAGTCTGTCTATCTGCTCGTCGTACCTTCCGACTTAGTAAAGCACGCAAATATCAAAAGACAAAGGCTGGACTGTGACTGTGTATTGAAGTGCAACAACGATAAAGAAAGCCATGGTATTTATACATTTTACAACAATATGGACAGCTACAGCATTTGAAATAATTGACCTTAATAGCCAATAACAAAGTGTGTGAGAAATCATAATATGCCATATGTGCGACATTGACAGTCAGTAACAAAATGTGTGGGAATGATATACCATATATACAAAATTAGCAGTCACTACCAAAGTGCGTGAGAATGATAATATACAAAACTAGCAGTCACTACCAAAATGCGTGAGAATGATAACATACCATAAATGCAAGTTTAAACAGTCAATACCAAAATATGTGGGATCCTATCAGTCCTGAACCCTGAACAGAATTAAACAGGCTGCAGAATGTCAGTATGCCATTTTCATTATAATAACAGTTTTATTATACATAATTTTCAGCTCAGATCATTGCATGATATTTTCTGTCCATCAAGTAAAGTTTCAAGTAAAACAACCAACTGCAGTAAATCCTGTGACGTAGTGGTGGTATATCTGAGGAATAAAATAATCCTTTTTTGTGATTCATCTTCGGTCCCTCAGAATTGAGCAGCAGTAGGATGCGAGCCAGAAGTAAAAGTGTGCATGAGAACATTCGACGAACAACGTGCATAAGCGAATGATGATAATAACGAGATCTGAAGTAAACGAGATACATTGTCTCGATGAAAATTCGGGTAGCCCAGTGACATGTTGGTTGTTTGACTCTCTATGCATTTCTTGTTTTCTTCTGGTTAGTTGCGTAATCGCTAGTGGAAGGAGATTTGAGTGTGGCTAGTAGTGTGCCCGTGTTTCTATCTCGCTGTCTGGTTTTCACGTGATAGAGTTCAGATGCAGTTAACTCGCTATTCACTGCTTCAGTTCTCCATTGATTAAGCCAAGACATTTCTACACTCTACTGCAACACACTGTAAAAAGTCAAATAAATTGATTATTATATCCCAACACAAACACACAACAGTATGTCCGTTTGCCTGTAGAAAGCCGATTTCCAGGAGGCATAAATCAATCACACTGGATAGTCTTCACACAGACGAATATGGGATATAGCACAGTCAACAAGCATTGTCCAGATTGTCAAACTATTCATTTGTCACTCAGTATGCAGTTCAATCCGATCGATGTTTGAGACACTAAAATTCGCATCAGGTGATAGATATATGTCAATTGTGCAGGATTTTGCATCTCGGTGAAAGGCGGCTATCACATGAATACCTGTATGACAGAGTGTAATGTGGATATTGAGAGACGATATGAAGCCACTAACATCACTCTAATCTCACTCAAACCAATGATTAATCCTGACAAACTGGTCTATTTCTCTTTTAGGATATCAAACATTCAGGAAAATGGATATGAGGCTTCCATTTCGACAGGTGAATACCTTGATTTCTTGTATTGCTCTTGGTGAATATTTCGCATATTTAAGTTTGTGATCTTTTAACTTTCTTTATTAGTGCGTTTCTTGTTTAATTTTGTATTCCAACAACGCATTGCTCTGCCATTCAATCATACTCTCACACGATCACTGAATGCCACTGCATGCGTCAAATCACCATCTAGTCGTCTAAATTTGGACGTATTCTCCGACTCAGTATCACGAATACCATAGCTTCTCTCCTGTTTCTGCCTACATATTTAAGTCACAATTTCCGTGTATGTATCAGTCTAACGCTGCCTTGGTAGCGTTTGTCCAGTAGCTAAGTGTCTCTTGATTATTCCTTCTTATTTTGTGTTAGGAATCATTGTCAAAATTTCTCTCTTTCGTTTGATTTTTCCCATGCCATATCCCTGAATAACAGGTTTTCAATTTCACCGTTTTGTTTGTTTATTTAGTCATTTTTTCCAGAGGGCATATCCACGACAAGCGCTACGCAGACAGGTTCTAGCCTCCTAGGTGGGTCAATGTTACCATCTTTTCTTCGTTTTCATGTCCACATGCGCTTCATTTATTTTGCTCTCAGAATAGTTTCATTTTTATAATGTTTATGAGTTCACAAGTATATTGTTCATAACGATCCAACTGAGAGTTTCTTCATTGCTTCACTGGTAGCTGAATCTCTAAATCTTCTCGCTCAACCAAATACTGATATCAACCAATCTCCTTGCATTATGTTCGCTCACAGCTGCGCTTCCGTCACACAATCTGACTGGTTTGCTTTTTCATCTACCTCACAATGCCAGCTGGTTCCTTTTTATGCGCCACTACATATCCCCTTCGTGTTATTATGCTTCACTTACAATAGCCTCTTCTCCTTGCAGCGAACTTTCAGTAGCTTCGATTCCACCGCTTTCTTCAGCATTGTCCATATTTTAGACTTGGATAATTTTCGTTTCCTAATCTTATAGTTATTGATTATCTGTGAGGAATACTTCTTCATATTGTATGGAGGCTTGCACACCTCCAAGATTACTTTTCCAGCTTCTGCGCCTACATTTATTCTTCGAGATAACGTCACTTCCAGATTTTATTTTCTGTGAACATTCGCAATTATATTCAGTCCGATTCACAGACACAGGAAACTATTACTAAATAGTTGATGAATCAGCCATCGTAGGCTGTCTGATTACTATGTAGATTAGTGTAAACGGTATTCCCAACATCAGATTCAGAGATTCACCTATCAAATCCTGTGGTCTATGCAGGTTGCCCCTTGTTGAGAGATATAGTGATGCGCACATGCTCGGATATATCTCCAGATTAAAGAAGACTGTGTTTGAAACTCGACCTCAGCCAGATGGTAATATAAACGTTGTTCGCAGAAATAGTCTAATTCTTCTTCACAATTCTTACCACGAAGCAGTACTGTTCAACGCATTTCCACCATACGTGCATAATTTCATCCATTGTGATATGCTTCACTTTTCCTTAACGTAAATGTCACTGTTTTTTTATTGTAACATTTTTAGAATGGAATTCACCTCAGTTTAGACATTTAGTTATAATATGTAAGTGATTCTATCATCACGTGTCAATATTCGCCAACTACAACATTTATTCACTTTCCGGTGACTTTTATTTCGTGTGGTATTCCTCAGATGGTTTTCTCAGTCAAGTCAGTTTTCAAGTCGAGTAGTAGAAGTCGTGAATGACTCATTCGATTTCTGATTTATATTATCAGTGTGAGAAGGCTTGATTGTGACAGGTGTGCTTCCGCAGATTTCAGGATCCGATATGACATGTAGATATGACACATTGACTGTGTCCTATTAAGCTTATGCTTTATTGCATCCTTCATCATTTGCGTTGATCATTCGACAATATACAATATTGTGAAGAAACACCATTCCACGATTAGTATTCACGACTAGGAAAGACTACTCAACACTTTGATGAAATCTTTACGTAATAAGGGATGTTTTTAAAAGAACATTCAATAGAAAATTACTTTTAATGGACTAGATGCTTACCGGCTGTCACTAAAACAAGGAGATCAGGGAATAAACCGTGGAGTAAGGCACCAGTGTGAGAACTTCAATTGTAAGAAAAAGTATACTGGGTTAGAGATCAGCTCGTTCAACTAATTGAACCTGGTTAACTGAGTAGGATCAAGGATCTCCAGTTGAAATGTGCAGCTTATAACCTGAGACATGAACAATCCACTTAAGTCTGCCCACGGGAAACAAACACACTAAAGTAGAAGGTGCATTAAATGTCTACAGTGATGCGTAGATTGTTTTCGAGGTATACGTATTCACTACTATCAATTTCCGCCTAATGTTCACAGAATCCACTTCTAAATACGTTTTCTGTCTGTGTCTGCCTTTCTTCCTCCCAGGCATTGTCGGATTGGTTCTCGTCATCTCAATCTCTCTGATAATTATCATCTTACATATTCTGAGATTTCTGTAAACATATGGTGTAATTACTCTGCTTTCGTTTGTACAATTCGATAAATCCAAAATAAATTTGCTTAGTTCTGCCAATACAATTATCATTCTCATCAGTGATCGTGGCTTCGTTAGATTAGTGGATGTGAAAATAAGCTGGGTGAGAATCTATTCGCTAGTATTTCATTATAAATTGCGTTTAAATTGGTTGCTAATTTGGTAGAAATTCAGACCGCTATGCTACAGAATTACATGGATAGTTTGAGAATATAGTCATCGAAATGCGACGAACATTCAGGTGAGGACAAATCGTAGAAGAAAAGAAGAGCATGACAAACAGATGCATTATATTCATAAGCATCACAGAGATAAACAGATATACAGAGATAAATGAAGACAGATAAGCTGATATATAGATGGATAGATAAATGGATTGAAAGACAAGGCTGTCTATTATCACCAATGATCTTCCTGATTGCAGTAGACTGGATAGTGCGACAGACAACGAGCAATGAGGAAACAGGCATGAAATGGACTCACACAAAAAACGACTTGAAGGATCTAGATTTCGCCGATGATGATGTATGTCTGATTTCCCACAAACTGGAAGATATGCAAGTGAAAATCAACAAGCTGGTAGAAGAAGCGTCAAAGATAGGACTTCAGGTGAAAATAGATAAAACAGAGGTGATGAAGATTCCTGGCCAACACCAACACCAACAGCAACAACAACAACAAACGACAGTCAGGATAAATGGGAGGAACCTGAAAGAAACAACTTCCTTCACCCACCTGGGAAGCATCGTTTCAACTACAGGCGGAACTTACGAGGACATCAAAGCTAGAATCGGATAAGCAAGACAAGCTTTCATTACGCTTAAGTCTGTGTGGAGGTGAACATAACTCAGCCTAAAAACGAATGTAAGATCCGGATTTTCAACTCCAATGTGAAGTCACTCAGTGCTACTATACGGATCAGAGACTTGGCGCGTCATAAAGAGCATCTCAAACAAACTGCGTACCTTCATTAACAGTTGTCTTCTCTCAATACTCAAGATCAGATGGCTAGCCAGAAATGATCAGCAACAGGGATCTCTGGCAATGAGCGAACCAATCAGGAACCGATTGTGAAACAAATAGGCAGGAAGAAATTGAGATGGACTGGCCATACGCTGAGGAAACCATCAAGTGACATCACTAGACAAACCATTGCTCGAGTGGAACCCGAAAGGTAAGCGATGAGTTGGTCGTCAGTGTGAGGGTGACTTGGGGGAGGTCATGTGAGGAGGAGATGAAAGCATGTGGACAGACCTGGAGCAAGGTGAAAAAGTTGTCAGAAAACCGAAGGCAATGGAGGTGCGCAGCTGAAGCCCTATGTTCCTCTAGGAACTAAAAGATACAATAATAATAATAATGTCCACGTTTATATGAGTCTGAACTGAAGGGAGTGTTTTTCCCTCTGGTTCGAATAACCTGGCATTGTCACATTCAATGCCTATGGCTGAGCATTTGGCTAAGTTGACAGAGAACATTTGTTATTTGAACCAATAAACCAGTTTGTTGGGATGCCCCTGTAAGTACAAGGGCAAACTTAAACTATGACATACAAAATCTCAGACACTTGGATCAACCAGTTAGAATTCAGATGCTTGAAATGTTGTTGAATCGTTTAAAAATGTATTAAATACGTTGCAAACATGATATTAAACTAAGTAATAATCTCCAATGCACTGTGGAAATATCTCTCAATTTCCTCAAAGGATAATGCGTAAAGAAATAATAATAATAATTTCACTTTTATTCCAGAAACAGTACTTGTGGTACAGTGTGGAATTTTCAGCACATATCTACAATATTGCATCTAATTTCATCTTGCATTTAAAAGAAGTATTACAAAAAAAATAAATATAAAAAAACCCACAAAGAAACACACAAAATAACAAAATAATAGAAATAAAATGCCAAGTAGAAAGGAAGATAAACACCGATAATGAAAAATATTTCAGTATTGGGTAGTGGAAGCCATGATATGTGTATGAATGGTGAACAGTAACAGCTATAATCATACAAGAAATTATGAGATGTTCTTAAGAATGTTAATAGCTAAGATGATCACTTAATTTGATTGAACAACACTAAACAATCATAAAATAAACATTTCAGGTTGTTGTTTTTTATTGTCAGCACTAATGCAGTGTTTGTTGTGGTAGTGTGAGTAATCATGCATAATACAAAATTTTTAAGATGGTGATAGTGGTGTTCACAACCATGATTGTCAGTTGAATAGTGCCGAACAAAAAACAACCTCAAAACTAATATTACATAATGGTTAATGACAGGACAATTTTGTAATAATCATAGTGATAATATAGTTGGAACCAGTAGATAAACAAAAAAAGGAATAGAATAAAGAAAAAAAGTGAGCCAGTGATAATAATTTTAAGTAGCTAAGTATGTTTAAGAAGGTTGTTCACTATAGAGTACAAATAAGAGAGTGTAAGGGGGAAATAACAAGGGCCAAAATTATGTTATTAACAGCAGAGCAAGTTATAGGTTTCACGCTAAACATTGTCTATGTCACTTAGAACACGGGCTGGCCAAATGTGGTATCGTTGAGTTCCTATACTTGGTTGTACGAGCATATATTATATTGTACTGATTTCTGGTTCTACCTGATGGGATGCAAGGAGAGAGTTGGGAATAGAGGGGGTGTTGGTGGTCGGAGAATATGGTTCTAGATCATTTTCCGCATGTATTCAGATGCTTATCCACTAATGTAGTGACGAGCTGACTGAGTTTTACACCGCTGGTCCAACTAACTACCTTCAACATCCTTATCAGGATGGTATAGTCCTTTTTCAGTAACCCAGGAAAGGCTAAAGGGGAGCAGTAAAGTAGACTAGGTAGGATATGAGAGTTGACAAATTGTGAAAGCAGAGGTTTAATCACTCCAGTTAGTCTGAGTTTCTTAATGTAGTAGGTTGGACGAAACACTTTCTTGGAAATCATTTGGATATGAGATGACCAAGTAAGGTCGGAAGATATAATTAATCCGAAGTATTTTTCATTAGACTTAGTTTCAATTTAGTCCCTTCAGTGCTACAGGCTTCACGAGTGCTTACTAGTGTTTGCAGATCTCGTTTATACCTAGAGGAGAAGTCAATAGTCTGGCATTTTGAGGGATTCAGCATGAGGCCATTTAGTTTAGACCACTGACTGATGTCCGACAGGAAGCTATTTAATTTGAAGCAGTTTGACTGAGACTTAACGGGAAGCGAAACAGTCAGGTCATCTGCATATTTGACGAAGTTGATTTCGTCTGAGAGAGGTAAGTCATGCAAGAAGAAGGAAAAGAGAAACGGCGAGAGAACAGCACCCTGAGGAACTTCAGCTTCAGTAAGGAGAGGATAAGAAGCTACGCCATTATATACCGTGTACTGCATCCTATTGGAGAAGTAAAAGTGCAGCCATTTGATAGCCCAGGACTCAGATTGTGTAGGGCTAAGCTTGTTTAACAAAAGGCCTCTAGGTACACAGTCGAAAGCAGATGTGTAATCAAGGAAAGTACAACGAACATGCTTGGCCACTTTGTCTAAGGTGGTTACAATGTTGTGATGAAACCTCACCATATCCCCAAAATATATATTTGCTGTGAATTGTTTTTATTTTGCTGGTGTTGTTCTGATTGTTTTAACCCTTGTTTTCCAATTTAAAGGGGACAACCCAAAAGGTTGCTTCTCTCTAAACTTTATCTTAATGTAACAATTCCTTTCTCAGACGTGAGGCTAGCAACCCCACCCTGTAAACAAAGTTGCTACAGAAACTTTAGCACGATGAATCTCTTTGCACCAAAAGAAAAAGTCTGTGTGTGACCACAGAACGTCTGCACAATAAACGAGATAGAAAAAGCTGCCCAAATCACAAACGAGATGAAAAGATACGGAATCCAAATACTGCGAATATGTGAAAGCAGGTGGAACGGAAATGGACTCACTAAATTATAAACGGGTGAGTCAGTGTTCTACTGCGGTCACCCAGAAGATAACCACACACACACCGAGGGCGTGGCTATCATGATGTCATCAACGGCAACAAAGGCCCTGATGCAATAGGAGGCGATCTCGTCCAGGATAATGACCGCCAGATTCAACTCCAAAGGAAGGTAAGTGTTAATTATACAATGTTATGCATCCACAAACCACGCAGACCTCGAAAAGAAATATGAATTCCACAGACAACTACAGACATCAATGGACAATACTCCAGCTGGCGACATTAAAATACTAATTGGAGACATAAACGCTAAAATGGGACCAGACAACACAGGAGGAGAACTCATCATGGGCAGAGAAGCTCTCGGAGAAATGAATAAAAATAGAGAACTCTTCGCCCTCTTCTCCGCCTTCGACTGACTAATGATTGGTGGCAACGTATACAAACACAAAGATATCCACTAGGCTACATAAGTGTCAACAGATGGTCTAACCAAAAGCCTAACTGACTTCATCTCAACCTCAAAGAAGTGGAGGCGCAGCCGGCTGGACACAAAAGTAAGAAGAGGAGCAGACGTTGGCTCAGACCACTATCTCGTACAAGGAACAATCCAAATCAAATTAAAGGCTTTCAGAGAAGGAGGACCTGAAGACAGACCGCAAGCCAAGTTCAACTCTCAAAAACTGAAGGACCAGGCTACAAAGGACATCTTCATTGCAAGCATAAGGGACAAAGCCGAGACACAAATCAACACTAGCGAAGAGGTCAGCGTCAAAAAGCACTGGGACAACTTGAAAACGGTGTGGAGTAAAACCTGCATGGAAGTTCTGGGCAGGAAGAAGAGGCATGACAAACAGTGGCTCACTAGGGACACTTGGAAACTAATAGAAGAGAGAAAGATGTTGAGACAAAAAAATTATCCAGTGCACCGACGAGCAACAAAAACAGGAGCTGAATGCAAGGTACAATATACTG